TTCCAAGCTTATTTTGGTAACAGGAATGAAACCGGTATGGAGGAAGAGGAAGGTTTCAAATTTGTTTTCAGCAAAAATCTCCACACTGATTTTAAACGATCAGTACAAATGATGGCAAATTTCAGAGAAAAATCCATCAGTGAGATTAAACAGTGTGCTGTGAATGTGTTCGAGGCATGTCCTCATGCTAAGACGCCCATAGAAGTGTTTCCTGGTGTAAAGGTTAAACCCCTCCATCTTGAACTGGAAGGACGGCGTGCTTCGCCGCCTCCTCCTAAAAAAGGTGAGAAAAAACAGTCTGTTCAAACTAACAAACCGCGTCATGAAGGTGCACGCTGGGACAAAAAAGCTCCTCTTTCAGAGGATGAACGTGATTATCGTAAAAGGGGTGAGCGTAGGACGCAAAGATATGGGAACCGAGAGGACCCATATAATCAGGGAAAGTACGTAAAGGAACCCCCAAAAGACGTATCTGACCGTCCCCCACCTCGGACGAAACGAACCGAGGCGAAAAAATCACAAAAGTTCCAGAAACAAGGCCCTACAGCTCTGAGCTCGGAAGAGACAGAGAAAATACGCAGGTTGTTAGAAACTTTGAAACACACTGACACGGGAACCCAACCAGGAGCACTATGCAGTAATGTAATCACTATTACATCTGAGGGCGCGAATGACAACATTACAGATGTCGGTGGAACACACCAAGACATTGCTGTTGCTGCCTCAAACAACCCCTCATCAGAAGAAGGGGGGGGGTAACCGCACACACAAACGATGACGAGTCATCGCAAGCTGAACACTCAGAAACAGCTACTGCTGTGCTGACGGTTCAGACAAACCAAGATTACACAGACAAAGCTGAACGCGTGAGGAAGCGTCAGAAAAAACCCAAGCGGTTTCTGTGTAACTTTATCAGAAGGGGGGTCGCCAAAAAGGCGTACCTGTCGATAACACTCGAAGGTGTCCTCACACACGAAGCACTCCTGGACGGTGGGGCAGACATAACAATTATGTCAGCTAAACTGTTCGAGGAGCTGAGGACAGCCGCTGCCGGTGTTAACAGGATAATACCTCTCTCTGAATGTGCTATAGAAATGCAGGGTCTCTCAGAGGAGAGAACAACCCTGACAGCTATAGCAATGGTTCACATGCAAGTTGGCAAAATGACACTGTACCACCGGTACACGTGTCTCGTGTTGACTCATTCCCATTTTTGGTTGGCCAGGATTTTATAAATCGCTTCGACGCGATTATAGATTATGGTGATCAAACGATGTGGACAAAAGTGAGCAAACCACTGCCAATAGATACGCCTCCGGAGTGTAACACAGACTGCCCAACAGCAGGTACCGCGGAAGGCGCAAAGGACTCCTCAGCCGAGGACACGAGCCCGGTGAGTACTCCTCTGACATCATGCGAAACCAAAGAGACCCACCCAGTGGTCCAAACTCTGACCCAACAAGACAGCCTCTTCTGTGAGCTGGAGCAGTCAGAGTCCACCAAACACTACCTACCACTGGTAGCTAAAGGTGTAGAGATCCAAGGGTCCCACACCAACGATGCTGTTCTGTCTCTGTGGACAGATAAATCAGCAATTAACCGAGCTTTCTATGAAACCTTGGTTCACAAACACGTTGGTCTAGAACTAATTAAAAAAGCTTTCCGCTTTCCATTAGTTCCCAATAGTTCACAGGTAATG